CGCCTCGAGGAGGCCGCCCGTTAGGCCCGTTATCGCGAGCGCCGCGAATAACATCGCGGGATTGCTGGAGTAGTGAAATACCAGCCAGGCCATCACGAACGGGATATTAGTCAGCATCATCATTCGCTTCCTGCCCAGATATTGCGATAGCGGTCCGCTCACAAAACAGCCGATCGGCACGAGGAATAAATTCAGGCTGCCTGAAAAAAAATATCAACAAGAGAATTATAAATGATAAAATTAATAATTAAATAATATACAAATAATAATAATTGAAAATTTTGAACTAGCTATACGAATATAGTAATGATTCAGCAACATCAATGATTTATAAAAGGACAAAAGAAACTTGCTTGCAAAAATTTTATATTTAGACTTTTCAAACAATTCTTTAAAAATTTCTCTATTATTCTCAGAACATCAGTATTTATGAACGAATCCTTACTGATCCATGTCAATTCCTCCATGCTGACTTTGATATCTGAATCTTCTCTCTGCAACGCCGGGATAAGGATTGTCGAGAATCCTAACGTTGAACCGAAAGTGAGTAGAAGTAAATTTTTAGCACCGACCGCGCAACATTGCGGTAAGGCTTGTCGAAGTTTGGAAGTGTACACATTTTCATTATTATTTCTAAAATGCAAAGAAAAAGCAAAGTTATGTATTAATGCAATATTTCAATGAATACACAATGAGAAATATTTAACAAAATATTTCTATATATTTATCACCTTATAGATTAAATTATTAAATAAATTTCTCCAACCTTAACCAGATCTTAATTATCTCAGTAATAATTATTATGCATTTAATTTTACAAATATAAATTTTTTACGGTTATTTACTTCATGGCTTGTTTTTGTGTAAAGTATTTTTTATAAGCATTCTTTAAATTCTCTTAGAAATATCGAATTTAGCATTGAAGCTAATAAGAAAAATTAATAAGAATGTTTATAATAGTTCAAGAAGCATAGCTCATTAATTAGGCAAAATTCTATTGATGTCAGAGTTTAATACATGGAGTGTAACTTGTGAAACATGACATATAAGTAATAAAGCTGTTAATAGAAGATATTCTTAGTCTGTATTTTTATAGCAAGTGATTAATCAAAATGTTCATTGCTTGAGACAAAAGAGTATTACAATAATAGTTTTGTTTTTTATCAGAAGATTAATAACGACAAAAAATGTGGTAATCATTCTTTCATTTCATTTAAATGTTTAAATTTAAATTTATTATAGTTACCGTTAACATTCTATCTGTAATAACAAGTAAATTAATAATTAACAATTCTTGCACTTTAAAATGTTCTCTAGACTAGCAGCTATTTAATGCTCTAGTAGACCTTGGAACTTAATACGCTCGATGCATCTTTAAGGGTATATGTGCCACACTGAATACTCAAACAGTCGAATAAATGTCTTAAATAGATTGTCCTTAGACAGTCTTTAAGATGGAAAAACAGATCTGCGATATGGTAATATTCACAAATTAATTAAATACATACATGCAATTATATTAAACGGAGAAAATTAATAAAAATATTTTAGAAGAAAAATATTACTATTAAAATAGCAGTATGGATTTTAGAGTTTAACATGTTACGTGATTAGTAAATCCAGCAAAAAGGATATATAGTAAATTACTTTGGAATATTATGTTAGATTATAATATAAATTTAAAAAAATTATGTATAATGTAACACCCAAGTAGCAAATGATCTTCATCTGATGTTTTTTTGTCATCATAATTGATTATTATGACAACAAAAAAACATCAGATGATGATTACTACATTGAAATGAAGTGAAGGTATAGACTGAAGAAAATACACGAGTTCAATGACACGTAGCCTACTTTGTTAAAGCATAATCAGTTATCCGTTTACAAATCCTTTCACTTGTGAATAGCGTATGCTTTTGGCAACCAGTTTTTCGGTCAATCAATTCTAAAATCTTTGAATTATTTATCACTGACTATCAATAAAATAACTGGCAGGTTAATGACTATAATTTTTTGTTATTTATGCATTTGTTTATCAAATGAATTATTTTTACATTAAGATATCATATAAAGAATTTTGAAAATAAATTAAAAGATTCATCAGCAGTTTCTTTGCTGCAAGGCAATTACCGGAGGCATTAAGACTTGTTTTCTCTTTTGTTATTTTATTTAAAAATTATAGATAATATTGAACAGCGTAAATTACAACTTAGAATATTGGTATGTAGAAATTGGAAAACAGTATCAAATGTTAAATGAAAAGAAGCACGTTCACTTCAAAGAGGAAGATGTAATAAAGTTAAAATAATTCGGTTATCTCGTAAGAACGTGCGCGAAAAGAGTGGCGAGCCAATTTATGTGATGATCCACATGTTGCATTGCGCAAACGTTTCAAGAACGCGCACAATTACATAAGCGCAGTGACGGATTGAGGCACCTTTTGTGTTGAATCGGTGTAAAGCCATTGCGGCGAGCGTTATACGAAGCACCGGCGAACAATGCGACTATTACTATGAATAGATTATTTATGCGAGGTCGCGGTAAGACGACTAAATATTTCTTCTTTTCTCATTGTTTTCTTGCTCTTAGCAATTTCCTCTTATTTTCCACTCGTGGCAAACCATGATTACGATGCATTGCGACTGGTTTTAGGCGAAGTATGTCGCTTATAGGTGCGCGCCATTCTCTCATTCTGAATGAAACAAGCCCAGCAGTGATGCAACATGGTCAATCATGTAACGCAATCTCATTTTCCACGTGTTCGGTCGTATAAATCTGTTCGTTGCTCTTTTTCCTCTGCACTCTCTCTCTACACGTTTTAGTTTCATATTTAGAGAAGAAACTTTATTATACATAAAAAAACGAGGTCGCGCAAATTTACAGCATATGTTCGAGATAAACGGATGACACGAACAGGCGTATTCGTTAAAAAACAATTTTTTTATTTATCTTATCTTAGCAAAATTGAAGTTTTTTAAATTTCCGTTTACAACTAATTTTTTACATTGAATATTTTTAAAATCAATTTTAAATTAAATTTCTATTTATTTGCAAGATGACAAATAAAGCCATTTAAAAATTCGTTATTTTATTATAAAATCCTGATTGAATATTATGTTTCTTTCTATCCATACTGATTTTTAAAAAATATTAAATGAAATACTAATCTAATTTTAATTGTGCTTAATATGTCTGATGAATGTTCTTTATATGCGCGTAACATACTTTGACTTTAATGCTGTAAGGAAATTAATTGCCCTACGGCATTAATTGCTGAAGGAAATCAGATTTTATCTCAGAAGGCTGTCTTGAAGCGATCGCCGCGAGTCATTCAATGTTCAGCAGTAGCTAGCTAACTAAATTTTGCCATTATTTAATGGTTTTTCTTTGTCATAACAAAAAAATGCTAAAATAGCATTTAAATCATCATTATCTGAATGTTCTATTTTTTCTGAATATTTAATATATTAGTGGAATATTCGATAGTCAATTTTGTAGATTATTACTTCTAATTAATTCTTTTAAAATAATTTTTGTTAAAATAAATAAAATTTACTGTTACAAAAACTATTTATTTGCACAAAAATTTAATCAATCATATATTTTTTTACATACTTGTCAGTTTTTTTATTAAAGTATGTCAAAGTATGTATTACGCGCGTATGAAAAACATTTATCAGGCATATTTTAAGCACAATTAAAATCACATTAGCATTTAATTAAATACTCTTTAAAATTTTCAATAATGGAGGTCTTTTAATTATGTGCCACACAATGAAAATTACTGTTTATGTGTGCCATTGAAAATTACTGTCTTGTTAAATAAACTTTATCTACGAAATTTATAGTCTGTAAGCGAAATTTGTGGAAACATTTAACATAAGAAATACGTGTTGAGAATATCTTGTGTCGCGCTTTTTTCACGTAGACAAACGTTGCTTCGTGACATTTCTACTTCCAGTAGAGTTATAACTTGTCATATGTCAATTACTCTTCACAAACGAAGAGAGGTATATCATAGTCAAGTGTGATCATTGCCGGTGCTATTATATATCACGCAATGATCAAATTAAATTTACAAAAGTGGTTTCTTCCGAGCATTTTAAATGTACTACATCAAAATTTTTCACTGCACATATCGGAGGCTTCTAACTGTGTCGCTAAAGCGATTGTTTATTAATGAGATTTCTTGTTGATCCAATGCAAAGAAGCTAGCTTTGTCTTGCAAGCAACTCTGATTGACGCAAAATGTATTAACTAGTTGCAAATGCACGAAGGCGGCATTAATGTAATGAGATTGACGGTCGATGACCCATTTGCAAATAGTAGGTACAATTGTAGATTATCGCTTATTTTGTCATTTAATTATGATTAATGTTATGATAATTATTCGATTTATTAATTAGTGATTTAATTATTAGCGCTCGAGTTAAATTAATTTTTCCTCTCGAAAGTGCAAAGTTCATACTGGATTTATATTTGCATTGCATTATCCGTGATGTACAACAAGCAAATTACGTTTCGCTTATTAGACATTGTGATTAAAAGTTAACAATGAAATATCAACGTATGACAAATATGAGAAATCAATTAGAAATTTAGAAATCTATTAAGTTTGCAATCAAAATAAAGAAGTAGTGTTGAGACAATTTAGTAATTTGAAAAAATGTTTTTAATTAAAAAGAATGTTTAGTTAATTATGCCATAATGCTGGATATTTTTTATTTACATTTCTGGATTTTAATTACATCAAGATGATATATTTGATTGATTATGTACATATTTATTTTGCTTTCAAATATAAGACATGTATGTTGCATAAACATCTGTATCATACGTGTTGCCGGAATAATTTAGGTGCCATAGGAATAAAAGAGACAGAGCTATTTGAAACGATGTGAAGTAGTTGAGACTTCAATAATATCTCACTTCCTGCAATTTTCCTAATGTCAACAGTTTTACTGAAATTCACCGGTGAATTTATTCACAAATAAACTTCCAGTCTATACGGTTTGCTCTTCTTTGATATTACATTAAAAAAAAAATAAAAAAAAGTATTTATTATTGTTATGTGCAAACAAAATCTGGGAATATTATAAGTTTTAATGAATTGACATAAACTAATATTATTATGCGCGCAAGAAAATTTATAAAATATTCAATTTGTTATATTTTTATTAATATATTAAAATTTTATTTATTATATTTTTTCTGAATTTTTTATATCATAAAGAATAGTATATTTGATTATAAATTGTTGATTTAAATTAATGTATTTCTTGTACTCTTTCATTTTCTTTCTTACACACAAGTGCGTCAGAGAAAATAAAATAAGGAAAGTCATCTCTAGCTCATTATTAGCTTCATTATTACATCATATTTAATCATCTAACAACACTTGAGAATTGCAATTCCTTGCGTAGCCAAACAAATCGATTTCGCAGAAACTCGTAAGATTATGTCATTGACACATTTTTTTTGTTACAAAACTCACCTAGGAAGTAATTAGATGCAACACCTTGAAAATTTGTAATTCCGTCATTTCAAGGATGATAATTCTCGAATGTGCTCACGAGGAAATCATGCAAACGATTCAACGTGAAATCGTCGTGAAAGTCGATAAATCACGTCACAATCATGAGTAATGAATTTGAACTCACGTTTGTTTTCCTTTGCATATTATTAAGTTTAAATTCTTTACATACATTCTGTATATCTACATTAAGTCACGTAAAAATATTATACAAAGGTGTTAGGCAAATAAAATTTTACCTGTCTATCATAATGTAAAAACTACACGGAAAGAACACTTTTGCTGAAATATCTAAAACTTATGTCAGATACAGATCTAAAAATGAATTTTGTAGGACAATCAAAATTTATCAATAGAGCGCTCGATTTGAAGTCATATTGCAGCAAAAAGTTTTGACGGTCCATCAATCAGATCGAGTGCTCTATTTGATAAATTTTGATTGTCAAACACAATTTATTTTCAAATCCATATCTCAATATCAAATCCATACAATTTTTAGATATTTCAGCAAAAATGTTCTTTTCATGTAGTAATAAATTTTGAAGAGAAATCTTTTATAATTATAGTTTTCATAGTTTTACATAATTGAAATCTTGATCTAAAAAAAAGAATATTCTAATTATACAGGGCGTTTCATAATGTCCGTGCCAACGCTCGTGTGCGGTAAACTGAGTAGAAAAGTCCTTTACCGTTTTGCAATTTTCGCAATAATAATTGAGATATTAATTAAAAAGGTTGACGAATAATCACGCGTTGCGCGCGGCTGGACATGGACTGTACGCTCTAGGCGTGACAGCAACGAGGATCGTACGGCAACGAAAAATAACAACACGTATTACTTCTGCTCTCGCAATGCGTTGTTATTCTTCGTTGCCGTACGATCCTATTTTTTATTATTTTTCCATTAAAAAATTTTGTAAATAAAGATTGATATCGTAAAAAAGATTGTGTCATTAAAATGTTGTAATAAATTTACGCAGAATATCAATAGTTAATAATAAACCATTCTTTGCGCCTAGACAAAAGTTTTAGCAATTTTAATTTTCATTTTCAAAATGAATATTTTAACTCAGGATCTTTCGCAAGTCGTTAAGATGCAAAGTACAAAATTCAAGAAAGCGTGACAAACCTCTTTCCGTTTTCCATGCGTTCAGAAGCTGCCATCTTCTTAGTTTAGAATCCGCTTGCGGTTCGATCTTCCTGTCTTCAGGGAGCGAGAGTCGCTGCACTTTCACGCATATCAGGTTCTCCGTTGCGTATCAAGGGATGTGGGAAGATCTTTTAAAACAATATAATATACAAATTTTTATGAGATTGAGAGAAAATAAAATTACATTTGGATTCTCTATCTTTTTCTTTAAGATACAAGCTGAAACTTGCTTATAGGTTAATACAGCACGAAAGAAAAAGATCAAAAGAAAAGAGGTGAAATAGGAACTAGCATAAGACATCGCAAACGGATTTGCTTTTATAAAGAATTGAGAGAGCGAAGAAGCTTAGCAAGTAGATGTCTGTGTTTGATCTCTTCTATCAACATCTGCGTTTGCGTAAGCACGCAATTATGAAAATAAAAGCATAATTCGCAGAGAGTACGTTAGAGGTAAAAGGTGGAGAAAGATTGATAGAAAATTATTGTGTGAGATTTTTATTAATTTTAAATTAAAAAATTGACGATAAATATTATAATAATAATAACAATATACACATAATACAATATAAATATATTTTACATAAAATTTTATATACAGGCTCGTATTAATAAATCAACTACACATAGAAATAAGAGGATGTCGAGCTGACGCCAGATATTCGTTGCTTATAACAATATTCGTTTATTAATACATAAACATTTCGGTCACCATTTGACCATCTTCAGTATATTCCGACAAACTTAATAGTTGTTCAAATTATTAATTGTGATTGAGGTTAAAAACTAAAATTGCAAATACATAAATAAAAAATTATCTTAAATTAATAAAAATTATATACAAAAATTTATAATCAATGGCCAACATAAATTCAAAATTAAAAAAGTAAATAAGAAGCAAAACGGCCAAGGCTAGGTGTTGGTGTTAAGTATATTATAAAAACAATCTTGATAACATTGACGCTTCGACCACAAGTTGGTCTTTATCAGAATTTACGATTTACAAATGTTACATCAATTAAATTTAAGAAAACGCTTTTGGATTAATATGAAAAAATTAATTTCTCATCGTTTATATGTTCCAAAAAATTCGCATCGCCAATCTTTTATTGTATGTTGGCTGGCATTCTCATTCGTAACATGAATGCTTCTTATTTACTTTTCTAATTTTAAATTAAATAATTGTTATAATATCGAAAATTAACTAGGCATATCTGTTAGACTGTGAGCACATTATGTATGACGTTGCCAATTTGATAGATAAAAGACAACTGTAAAAAATATTTTTTTAAAATTATAATTGAAGTTCAGATTCTTACTCCTTCCCTCTTCTCTTTCACTTTGTTCTTTTCTCTTTCCTTACTATTACAATTTTCAAAATATATTTCTCACAGTTGTTTGTCAAAGTGCTAACATATTACTTTAACATCTCACATAATGTGCTCACAGTCTCACCGGTATGCTTAGTTAATTTCAGACATCATAATGGTTATTTAATTTAATTTTTTATTTTTGCATTGGTATTTGTAATTTTAGTTTTTGACCTCAATCACAATTAATAACTTGGACAACTATAATTACTTAAAATAGTCAAATCTTGATCGGAACGTTTATGTATTAATAAAAAAATATTTTTTAATTTCTTTCTTTAAAAAATTTCTTAGAAAATTTTTTAAAAAATGTTTGATTTAAAAAAATACTAAAAACAAATGATATCCAATCAAATTTTTACTAAGAAAAGATTGACTACAAATATTTCACAGGTCAATACACGAAATTTGTCAATTTTACAAAATTTTTCTCGAATGCATTCTAGTTAATTTATAATATCTTTTCAAAGAATATTTCTGTTGAAGATTAATTGTAGTAATTTATGTGCTCACCTGATTAAAATAGGTTTCTTGATAGATTAATTATCTTTATGATGCTTCTATTTTGCGAAAAGTTGATCAGCTTCTTTTTAATTTGGTGATGCGCTCTTAAATAGAAAATAATTTGTATAAAGCTTTTACAATTTTAAATTAATTAATATGAAAAATACACAAGAGCTAAGATTAGATATTAGAAAAACTAAGTTATAAAACATTAGCATGAAATTCCAGCTATCTATTCTTATTAACGATGCTCGCAAGTCATTTACTGCGTATGATCGAATAATCAATCGAAGGTTTTATATTTGCATTCTCAAAGATATTTGTAAATATAAGAAAGATTAATTCATAACATTTATCTCTTATGTCGTTTTTATGTTAACTTGATTATTTAATTTAAAAAGTAATTTTTTTACAATGGTTCTTAACTTTTATCCTTTAAATATCACAAAAAAACAATATCAACAAGTAGAAACGCTTTTTTTTTGCATTTATCAGATATATATTTATAAAAAGTAACAACCCATACAGCATGCATATCCAAAAGACGTTCAGAAGACGTTCGAAAAGAAACATATTTTTGAAAGATACGATATCTTCAGGATGTCTTTTGAACGTCCCCCAGATACATATGTATGCTATGTGTGAATTGATTCCTTTTTTGTGAAATGTAACTTGTAACTTATCATTAACTTCTTGCCTAGTAATATTTTAAAATAAAATAAAACTTATGGTCCAAGTTACGGATCAAATATAACAGACATGAATCGCACTCATGATATAAATTATGGCCTAAACTTTGCAAAAATTCCGTCGCACTCATATATAATATTAGATCAGTTAATTACATTTTATATTATTGTTAAATATTTGATAATATTTTAAAGAATTAATGTTTAAAAGTTTAAATTACTACACTAATTTTCATTAATTTACAGTTTTGCTAGAATTTGTTAGATATTTGTTTCTGCTAAACAGGGCAATTGTTTTATATAATAAATTGTCAACAAGTTTCCAGTTTGTCAAATATGGCAAAGTATTAGATATTCTCTTAAAACTTTGGAAGCAATTCAAAATCTGTCAATTGAACGTCGTGTTTTTGTCTTTTCGCACTTACTTGATCTAAACCTTCGTCGCGTTTTGAAGAGTAGTAGATAATAAACGTAGTGAAACTTTAATAATTTTTCTAAAGTTCAAAGTCCCTTCAAATGATACACAGGTCTCTTCTGCATTGTGCGCATTTGATTTCGAATCGTGAGTGAGAAGAAGACGCGTGAAAATTTCGTCACGAAGCGATTCAAACTGTTATACAGCAAGATCTGAGCGATCCGAGGAAAACAACCGCGTTCGAAGTAGAAAGCGTTCGAGATTGAGAGGCAAGTTACCGATTTACATTAGACCGGGACACCGCAACGAACTAAACGTCGCGCGGCGCGAAAGCCGTAAGCAAGCTGCACTTTCGTTTTTAACCTCCCTCCTTCGGCACTTACCATTCCCGGTCTACCTAACCGGAGGTTGAAGGCAAATCGGTTCGGTACGTGAGCGTGCATGTGACCTCTCTACTCCCCTCCTCTTCTCCCTTGGTCATTTTAATGTAATTATACACGCTGTACACGCGATTGTCAGTTTGACAGAGGACAGCGAGATGATGAGATTGACAATTGATCGATCTTGCAGTTGTTCATGATTCTGATTTTTTCTAATTATTTCTAATTATTTTAAATTATAAAGCAAAGTTTAGAAGAGAGAATTGTTGAGTTTCTTGACAAGTGTGTCGAAACTGGAAGGTTTTATTTTTAATTTTTGATATAAAACAGTGTATACTAATTTTGTTACATCTATAAGCTTTTTTTAATAGAAAAAATAAAGACGTTTAAGGTATCTTTTTATAGAAAAGTTTATATAATGATTTGGATTCAAATTGATATATAATTATCTATAGCCTTGAATAGAGCTTATTTATAGCATTGAATTTAAGTATTCATAACTGCTTGTAATCTTTCTTAATTATACCAATAATTACTCTTTCTAAAAAATATTCAAGATTATATTTGCTTTCCGTTTTTCGATGTATTCCAGGCATAAAAATGTACATCAAATTTCACAAATCTATTATTATTAAAAATAAATATTATCATGCGTCTCTATAGCATTGCACTATGAAATAATGTCTTAAAATAAAAATTATAATAAATATAGAGGAAATATGTTTTTTACAAAAAGAAAAGATTTTTTGCTTGATAAAAGATAGGTATTATATTAAAAATAATTACACATTTTACTGCATTATATTACTGCATATACTGCATATGATTTTGTTATTATATTATGTGTTTATCTTATTCATTTATTCCATTTTTTTAATAATAAAACGAAAACCGGTAGAATAAAAAACAAGTTTTAATCTTCTCCAACGAAGTGAAATGCAATAATGAGACGCAGAAGAATTTTAGACATTAAATATATGTCTATATAATTTAAAGGCTATGCCAACAATGTTCCGAATAATATTTCGAATAATAAGATCATTAATTATTTTTTTACGACGGCTTTTAAACACTTGCAATGTTTAAAATAACAGACGTAAGGAATTTTTTTCTGTTTCTTATTTTTCTAGACAATATAGAAATCTGAAAGATATTGTAAAAATATATGCAAATTAACTTTAATTAATTCACAATTTAATCTATATTTTGCAAAATTGTTTGCTTAAGTGTTATTTATCAGATAAAAGCAATTTTGGCATATGAATATCATATAGATAATGTATTATTGTCATGAAAATTTCTCGACACATTTTACATTTTTTCGAGCGCTTTGTAATTTAGCTTTGTAATTTAACTTTCGCATTTTTTGATACAAGCGTGTATATAAATTCTGTTTATGGTTTTGTAACTATTTTTTTTGTGACAAAAAATTTTCTTACGATATTTATTTGTCGCATTTATTAATTTAATTAATTGTCCTGCATTTATATATAAGTTCATGAAATAAGTTTATTGTAAACTTGTAAAGATTGTTGTAAACTTATTAGATATTGACATGCATGCAAGAGATAAAAAAATATGTGTGAATGTATAGCGCGCACATTAATGTAGATATAAAAGCTAATGATTTTAAGTTCTTCAATTAAATATAATAAGTATAAAAAGTTTCTGTTTTTCTCAACTTTAATATTTGACGTAATATTTTGACGTAATGGACACAAAGGCGCCTTTAAAAAAAGTTAAAAATAACTTTCGTATAATAATTATAAAGATTTAAAATTGATGAGTTGTCCGATTACATACATCGGCACATTAGCACTGTTACGAAACGATAATAATATGCCGCTGCATGTCTTACATTATTCTATTTTATGTAAATTGACGCTATGTCTGAAATTTCTTCTAGGAAGCGTTTTTTCGTTGTGATTTCGGATGTCAGCAAAAAAATTATTTACAAGAGTTTTATTGACTATTTTTATATTTTTGTTATTTTTTCTTTATTGTTACTACTTCTAATAATTTTAGGAATAAAGAAATTAATAAAAGCCGGAGCCAGGCTAAATTAACAATTATTCATTGAAGTACATACGTTTCGGCCGTCTTCAGTGTATTGTTCAAAATAAAAAACTTATGACGACATATCTATGTCATTAAATCGCACGCAAACAATATAATAAAACCTATTTTGAACTAATAAGGCTGTTATCTTTCATGTAATTGGAAAAATAAAACTCCTTGCCAGCAGATAACGTTATCTGTAATTATTGTACCATCTTAAAACTATTGCTGATCAATTTTGATTAAATGTGAATGTAATCATAACCGTCAACCTTAATGCAATGCCGATTATTTGTACCATGTATTTAATCCTGATTAAAACTCTTAGAATTTGAAGTCAATTTTGATTATAATTCAGATATTAAATTAACGCCACAATTCTTCAAAAAATGTATCGTACAATTCATTTGTAGTTTCAAATTTTTGAGACTTTAATTCAATTACTTTAATGAATAATTATTAATTTAAGCACTTTAACCTGGCTCCAATTTTTATTAGTTTATTTATACCTAAAATTATTAGATTAATATAAAAGTCCATTGAAAACGGTTAAATTTTAATTTATTTGTATTATTTGTATTATTTGTATTATTTGTTACTACTTTTCTCTTGTAATGCCTCTCTTGTCTTTTCAACGTGTATTATTTATTGCTCTATAGCGTTATTCAGTTATTCAGAAAGTAATTACTTGTTTTGGTTCGGAAATGATATTTGATGCTCAATTTTCGAGCAGCGCGCTCCACTTTGTTGATTTTCATCATCGCGCGTAAACATGGAGATCATTTTTCAGGGTCTGTAGTAACCGAAACCAGAAACCGTTCAAACTGTTTCTCTTTTAATATCTGTTTACATTATTGATATATGTAGGCAAAAATGTTGTTTTTGAAAAAAACCACTACTAATCATGAATTTTTTTGCATCGCAAGTGATATTCTGTGATTAACGCACTAGAACACTTTCTCGCGAACGTATGTGTCAATACGGGAAGAGATTCAGTATTAAAGATTATGTTAATTGCCAATCATTATCTCATATGTTTCATGTCTGATCGCGGATTACGTCGAGACTAAACTGTCGTCAATCTATTAATTCCTACGATCAATATGGCTAATGTCTTTATTTCAAATAGCAATTGACGTTACTAATTTACGCAGGACGTATAATTTTTACGGATAATCGTGGTGTAAAAGTCAAGGATCGCAAACATTTAGCAGTGCCATAGTTCTAAATAAAAAAGAAAACGAGATGTGGCAGGTTTTATATTATATTTAATGTCGTTTACGTTTGCATTACGAGAGATTGGTGCCTTTCTTTTATTTAAATATATAAATAGTTCATTTGAATACGATTGACGAGACCTCAATTCCCACCGCAGACGTATAAATCGAGGCAATACGCTTGTTTAAAAGATATCTCAAAGACTTTTAAGCAACTTCTGAGAAAATATAAGACGTCTTTATATCTTTTAGACACTTATCCTGTCTGAGAAGTAGAATGCGTTCGCCAATGAATTAAAGATATTGAAAAGATTTGTTCTGCATCATAATAATATTGAGAAAAATATTATTAGCTCCTTCACATTACAATCATTTGAATAGTATTTACATTATAATCAGTTGAATAATAGATGCAATTGATTGGAAAAGGAAAGATCGTTTAGGATCATGAAAGCATCAATTGTACAATTCTTCGTGTCGCGATATTTTTCCATGTAACATATTGCTATGTATAGAGATGTACTGAGAGAACTGTCGAAAAAAAAAAAATCAAAATTGTGCAATGATGACAAATTATCAAAATAAAAATTGATAATTAATATTCCAGATAATACGTATGTTTTTCAGATGTTTTTAAGACATACATGTTATTTGGAATAACAAGATAAAACGAGTCCGATATCTATTAAATATGAGTTTATTAAGAATAATATATTCTGCAATATCGGCGTACCTGTATTAAATAAATATAAAAATCACATAAATTTCTAATTATTAGCCAGCCAATAGCATCATTAGGAGTATATTTTGTCTTTCTTTCTGTTTTTCTTTCGTTTATTTTCTTACACATACAATCGAGTCACGCAGTGTTTCCTGCGATGTAGAAAGTTTCTTAGGAAAAATATACATGTCTACATATTGCTACCTCTTTCTCGATGACTCGATGATCGATGGTCGCAGACTCGCTAGTCTCTTGCGTAGAGCATCAGAAAATAAAGTATTTATTAATAAAAACTGCACTTACATAGAGTACATTCAGTCTAAAACACGATTAACTCGTGAGAAATGGCGTAATTGGATTCATAAGAGAAGTAATAGCATTCTTTTAAAAGTTGATTTAAAAAATTATACATAATTAGACATTCGAAAAAAACAATATCAAAAGAACGATTTTGCACGTAGCACTTCTACAATGTATTATTTACATTATCTCTTGATACGCCAATACTCTTGAGTTAATTTTTACGATTTGTAATATTTGACTATATCAGCACACATCGTATCCTTTCGAAAAAGGAGATCGATATACACGCATTATTCTTAATAAATTTGATTTCATTTTTTTGCACACACACTAAACGAGAAGAATTCATTGTATCCGTCTAAGTTGCTCGTTGGCGAGGAAATAAAATAAAGTAATACATAGTGATTTGAAACGGCATACATGGTACAAGCTTGTACAAAATTGTTTTTTTATGTAAACCTCATAATTCGGTGCAGTTGCCATATTAAGTAAAGCAAGAAGCATACCTTTTTCACGTACATATTAAATTATGATGCAATATGTATTACCACAATGACATATAAATACAATCTGCACAAAGTAAAAAGCACGTAGTGAACTAGTTTGGAGTGATAATTCCCTGTAAGAAATTATACCTAAGGCTACGCAAAATAAAATATTAATTAACACATATGTATAATTAATTTGGTCTGAAGTTAAATTTACATATACATATAAAATTAATATATATATAATTTCAAAATATATAAATTAATTTCAAATCATAATATGAACCGGCATAGTATTTAAATAATATCATAAATATAGTCCCTCTAACTTTTAAAGCAATCCAATTGCATTAAATTTTCTTTACTTAAATAAAAATAGCAACAAATACTTAAGTAATAGATACGCTATGCTATTAGATAAATAAGTAAAACATATGTCGAAATCCTAATTAAATAGAAAATTAATCTTTATTTTTTAATTTAATTTATTTAATATGTATATTGTATAAGGAACAGAGATTACCCCTTTTTGTTTTACTGACGTTCACGTTATTACTTTACTCTTTTTCTCGTCATAAAGATGAAAGTAATCGCACACTCGTAAAGGCACTTTTAACCTGATGTGTACAACAGTTATTTCATTATTGTTCGTCTATACGATAATATTTACATATAACAACTCATACACACATTTCTAATTTTAAAAATTTCTAATTTTAATTACTGAATTATATATAATAAATATATATAATAAAGTTAACGATTTCAAATTTGAGAAATTTAAATTTGAGAAATTTAAATTTGAAAAATTATTCAACAAAATTATAATATTACATATTATTATTATACATAATTATCATAATTTTATAGCAACATTTATTGTGAGATATAAATTTTGGAATCAATGTGGCAGAAACTTTGTCTGTCAGATGCGATTTATAATATTATTACCTTATACCTTTGCATTAGAAAACAATGCCAGTTTAACAAATGCATATATACTATTATGATGTTACTTTTTATTAAAACATTAAAAAAGATAGTTTAAACAGAGTTGACGCGCTTTTTTATACTATATAACAAAAAGTTAATAGACGTTCCAAAATGGAGCACAGCCACTATGCATATTAGAAAATACTAAACAAAAGACCACTATAATTGTTTTAAATTCTTTAAAACTAAAAAAGAATCGTCTCTGAAGGTCAATCGATTAAAAAAATTGTAAATAAGGAATACACGTAGTGCTGTAACTCCACAATTTTCATTTTTTCAATTGATTTCTCCAGTTTTAATATCATCATATGTCGGTGGCATAAAAAACGAAGAGACAATATGATTAATGTGTTTTACAGATAAAAAATATATTCCCGTAGAGACATGTATCGATTGTACGAAAGCTGTACATTCTATGGTACGGATGGTCAGAGAATGTGAACTTATGCACTCTTTCGAGTATGTATGTACACGCGCATACAAAGAACTTAGTCCAATTTATCAGAGACCAGTGGAAATCTGACTATTCTCAATTGTCGGCCGTAGTCGCAAACGACACTGTCCCTCAGTGCCAGCATTTGCTTAACGAAAATGCAACTATCATTATGACCCAATCTCACTTCTCGCACGGGTTCGCCCATTCTTACGTCCCACACTACTAATGATCCCTGAAGAATAATAAGAACAATATTAAGATTCAGATCGATTACTTTTGTCGATCGATAAGCATTCGAAAGAATATCATTTGTATACCTGATTACTGGTTATGAGGAGGTGATGCGTTAACATCACTAATTGTAAACTGTAAGCAGCTTTATGTGCCGGTAAAGTGTGTAACAAGTGTCCTTGAAAACGTTCCCAGACACATAGTTTCTCGTCCGTTCCAATACTTATAACA